GTCAAGGCGATAAATGTCGCTTGCACGAACACATGCCTTTCGATGGCACTATATTCATGAGTTTTTAGGAATAGGCTCTTTTTTGACCATTGACCATATTGGCCGTTCCGGGACCACCGAAATGCTCCCGGGGGAATAGGTAATTTATAGTCTTAAAATACCGTATGCGTGATAATGTTTGCACCATTGAGCAATGTCAAAATTAAAAACATTCTCAAAAATTTCGTTTTCGAGTTTTTTTTATTTATTCAAAGGGAATGTTTCTCAGACTCTTAAACTATGTCAATCATCGATCGAGTTTCCACTTGCTGCAATTACGGCCTCCACACGCTTCCGGAATGCACGGCAGGTTCTAATAATGTAGTCTGGATTCATTTCTCTTCAGGTACGGGTCAATATTTGTCTGAGGCTTGCTGTACTCGGGTGGCGTCTAGAACAGGCCTTGGCCTTCATGACACACCATATTGAGTAATCCGTCGGATTAAGATCGGGGCTGGATGGCAGCCACATATCCTTCGCCCAGAACGGAAGATGTTCCTGCAACCACTTCTGAGTGCGGTTCGAGGTGTGGCACAGAGCCCCATCTTGTTGAAATACAACATTTGGCTTCGGACCGTACTGTTCTTTGATCCACGGAAGAACAAACTTACTTAAAATCCCGATGTAGACCTCCGTGTCGCCTTCTGGAATGAACACCGGGTCCATTTTTTTTGCCATCGGAAGCCACCAATCCAAACACCATAACGCTAGCAGGATGCTTGGTCAGATGCGTGTTCTTGTATTCGTCGGCCACGCCTTTTACCGGAAGAGAACTAATATACCGGTCGGTTCTGGAATTTGATACAGGATCGACGGTAAACATGCTCTCGTCGGTGAACAGGATTACCGGATGTTTTCGCTTAAGGAAGTTCAAGATTTTCTGGCATCGTTCGACTCGTAGCTCCCGGATGCGGTTGGTAATCATGTGAGTTTTTTTCCGTGCCCTCGACTTCGCTCCGCACTGATCCCGTGTTCCTTTGCCATTTTCCTTATTGAACGCACTGGTTTCACCCGAATCTTCCTTTTGATAGCAGCGATAACCCTCGGAACCCGAGCTGACCTCGGACGACCTGTGGCTACCTTCGCGGATAGTTGTCATTTCTTTTCTTGGTCTAAAACCCTTTTGACGGTCCACCGGGACACTCCCACGGCGATTGAAATGTCTTTTTGCGACAGTTGCGCGTGGGACAAATCACGAATACACTGCCACTTCGTCATGGTGCAACTGTCAAACTAAGTAAATCATTTTCTTTTATACACAGCCAACTACGGTATGAGCTATAGGTTACGTGCATGCAAAGAAAACCAAGGCATTGTATGCGCAGGTGAAACGGGAACCTTATTTTTACGATGGTGCAAACATTATCACGCTTACGGTAGATCATTGACCATTTTGCCCATTTCAAAACAACTGGGTAGTCCTTGGGAGAACCTGTAATAGAGAACAATTGAAGATGTTAACCAAAACTTGCCTTAAAAATATAAAAAAAGCCATTTTTATTTTTTGTGCGATTTAAAATGGCCGAACTTAAGCGCAAATGACCATAACAACAAGTATGCAATTCACGCAAACCGCAAAAAATCAAGTCTGAAATTCTTTTTTTTTTTTTTTTTTTTCTTGCACTGAAAATATATTTTCGTTATTTCTCTGAAAATCGTTTCGTAAAAATAAATATCGTTTATAAAACACATATTTTATAAATAGTACAAAAAAATCGTTTTTCTTGTCATCTGGCGCAATGCTAACATTAATAATATACAAATTCAACTTCGTACAATCAAGCCAACAACTGCTCTGCTTTTCTCTTAAAGTGCATATTGTGTGTTGGAGACGGGATACTACTTTTTTTCTTGAAATGGTCGGTCTGACCAATACCACCATAAATCAAATTACTGGTCGTGGTGGTTTTATGTATGTCCCCATTTGAACCATTGACCATTTTGCTCACTTCAGAATAACCGAAATGCCCGCGAAGGATAATAGGGGACTACTGAAGTGATTCTCCAAAACATGCCTTTCGACGGATCTATATTCATTGTTTTTCATGCATAGGCTACCCAAGCACAAAAAAGTTCCGCATTCAACGATAAAATTTACTTTCAAGTTCCATATACTTTAAATAAAGTTCCGATAGATCCATCAAATTCAATAAAGTTCGAATAAAGTTCTATGAATATGAAATGATCAGTGATGCAAAGTTTTGTAATTTCGCTTATAACTTTCGGAATTTTAATTTGTTCGACATGGAAACAATTGTCCCTTATTCTTGACACTTCAGAGTACCTTTTTGAAAATCCTAGGGTGGCGTAACCCCTTAATATATCTGTGATGGCGTAGCGGTTCGTGCTGGGGCTCTTACTCAAAAAGAACTGGGTTAATTCGTATAACAACTCTAATATTAATGCAGATAAATTCACGACCACACCTGCCTTTAAAAATAACTTCCATAAAGAACTGGCTTTAGAATTATCTTTCATAAAAGTGCGAACTATAAATAAAATTGGTGTAGAGGATAAAAACAATTTTCTTAATATTTTTTTCCAAACGTTCTAGCTGTTTAGCATGCTCTTAAACTATGGTACCGGAACTTTCAAGTTCTTATAATTAGTAAAAAATGAGGCTGCTTAGAATTCTATAGACCACTTTCACCCAGCTGCTTAAGCCTCAAATAGCCTTTTATCAGAACTTTAGGTTACTTGGGTATTTGTAGTATTAAAATGCTCCCTGGGAAATTTGTAGTTGGGGACAATTGAAGATTTTTACCAAAACATGCCTTTGGACGGCTTTGTAACATGGGTTTTCATGAATAGACTATTTATAGTCTTGAAAAGTACCATTTTTAATTGGCCAATCTAGGACCACTCGGATGCCTCGGAGGGGTCGTGTAGTAAGGGAAAATTGCAGTTTTGAAATATGTTATTCTGTTGCAAATGTGACCACGGGCACTCAATGTGATTTTCAATAATCTGGTGTTTAAAATGCAGTTCGCAGAAATTTTTATTTCGACAGTGGCTTGAGTGCCATTGGTCATATTTCATCGAGTAGAATATCCAGAACCGATTCTACGGAGACCATTTTCAGTGCCATCGAGTAGCTGTAATTTGATATGTCGCTTGATATAGTTATATTTGATAATAAACTTGACCATGTGGAACCATTGTTTTTCGACCATTTGTCTTTCGACCTTTTGCCCTACAACCCCACACCACCCATGGTTAAAGCTCTAAATGCCTACCAAAATAGATCCAATCAACATTCAACATTCAACATTCATCAGAATGTTGGTGAAACGTGCCAAATTTGTGCACGATATAAATTCGAAAGGAACTCACTGAGCCGTTTTGGTTTCGTAATCTAGATCACATTCCTGAATTGAAAAGTAGCAATCAACGACTGGGCTGAACCGGTAGTGTATGGTACCCACATCAACTAATTCCTTGATACATGTTCTTACACCGACCGCCGCGTCTCAACACCCAACCGAGCACCCTTCGGGACACTTGCCGATGATCGCGTTGTTGGGTGCGAAGAATGTCGATCACGGGCAGCAGCGAGAGTGAATGTATAATTCTTCGGTGTAATTTTATGCACCTGTGTAATACGCACCAGTGGGGTAATATGACCATCTGCAAATTTCATCAAATGATAGATCAGCAGCCCATCTAGCAGTTCTGGATGAAACACCATTCAATTGAGTTTAAAAAGTCCATATAAAATTGTTATTTAGTTATATTACCCGTTGGCGCGTGTTACACCATTTCCCCCTACAACTACTTGCGGCAACTTATATGACTGGAAACTTGTCGGAAACTGAAGCAAAACGCAATCGAAATAACAACGTATGACTCTCTTATGACTAACCGTGCGTTATTTTAAGAGGCTTTTAGCTACTTTGGCAGATCTAGAAGCTCAATCTAGAGGGGAAGGAATTCAAATGAGATATGTTCGCGATGATCTCCGCAGTAGACGAGTTGATATTTCAATCATCTCAAGAATGCTACCTTGGTTGAGGATGCTGACGGGGTAGGCTACACCCAGTTCTTTTGTCTGCCAGTCAGTGTGGGCGCACTATCTGATCGGAATCATTGGCAGGCAGAAGGATTGGTGATTTATGATGAGGAAGAAACATCGATTGGCACGCGAGAATGGAAGTTCGATAGACTGCGCGAGTCGTGGGGAAAGGACCGAGCGCGTGGCGAATGGGATTGGTATGCAGGCTTTCGTCATGGTCGTGGTTTTGTGTAAGAAGAGGGGCTTACCTAGCTAAATAACAAGCAATCGGCAGCAGTATGCAATGTGCATATTAAACATCTAAAGTGAAATTTTTCCATCGCTTGCCTACTGTCATGCTGTCATGGCTAAGGTAGCCATAAGAATCCATCGTACAAATTTATTCCAAGCAGCGCCGGTGGTGTAGTGGTAAGCTTGATTACCTCTCACTCCAGCAGGCCTGGGTTCAATTCCAGTAGGCACCGCCGGGATGTTCTGAGGCATTACATCTCTGATCACGGCTTCCTTCGGAAGGGAAGTAAAGCCGTTGGTCCCCGGTTCATGAGTTGATGGGTCGATAGGTACACTCTTAGAAAAACCTAATTTTACACGTGACGGAATCCATCTTTGACATAAAGAATGAGACGTAAACAAACATTTCATTAAGTGCTCCGAGACTGAAAAGTTCGTTACTCGACGAAAAGTACGTTTGATTGAGCTGAATTTCGCGTCTATTATGACTTAATTTTATGTCAAAACTGACGCTCGTATATGTCAGTCTCAGAGCACCTAAATTTACATGAATTTTTCTAAGTGTGTAGGGTACAGGTGTGGAAAGAAAAACAAATATTCCAAAATGCCATATAAGTCGTGTGAATTTTCTAATAAACATGTTTTGTGTGTCGTGTGTGTGTGTTTTTTAAGTTTGGGTTTTTTTTTCTTTTCCTACTAACCTGCCCTCGGCGTGTAGACACCAAGAAGTCCGGATATTTTCGAAATATCTCCTCGTCCGTTCTCGGTGACACCGCACCCCAACGCGGGTTTCCAGTATACCCGTGGATCGCTGAGGAACGATTACTTTACGAATGGACTTAGTTCGAACAGGAACTTCGCTGGAAGTAGTGCCGGAAGTAGCAGCACAGCAAATCTAGGAAACAGTGCGAGTGTAAGTGGTATTGGTAGCAGCAGCAGCAGTGGCAATCTTGGAGTCAGTTCCGGAATTAGCAGCAGTGGAAGTAGCTACAGCTACCGGCAATCGCAGCGGAAGAGTCCTTTCAGTAATAGTGCCATTGGGACAAGCCTGACCAGTAACGAACCGGTATCCACTGAAGCTCCACAGGTAAGTCGTTGTTTTTTTTAGGTTTTGTATTTTTGCTTGTAGATTTTAGTGAGTGTGGTGTGTTTTTTTGTTGGATTTCGATTGCCTAGCTATTAAATTTTATATTTTTTTTTATAAACATAAGCCTGGCCAAAATTGAGAAAAAATAATGACTATTCAAAATTCTGTGAGAAATAAGGAGACGAATTACGAAAGTTACAATTTAGTTTAGTAGGATTTAGTTTTTTTTTGCTGCCCATAAATGAAGATATGGCTAATATGCCAAAAAACTCTGAGTGAGAAGAGGTTTACATTTATAAAGCGATAAATCGATTAAATCTAAAAAAATATCGTGTATAAAGTTATCATAAAGGAGCGATTCAAATGAGACATCCACAAGTTTTTCGTTTTTTTAGGACTTCTAGGACCACCTCGCTCAAGAGTGAACGTCATATTTGAATCGGTAACGATAAATTTGCTGTCATGCCATTTGGATACAAAATTTTAAAAATGCCCTCTAAATGTGGATATTAGACAATTTTTCATTTAACTGGCATACATAATTTCCCATTGGGTGGTCACGCCGTGATCCACCTTTTTATCCGCTGACTTGGTTCTGCTTGCTGCAGGACCAAGTGCCACGCCGTCCGAAGCGGTAGTGAGCAGAGTAACAGCAGCGCTGTTTAATATCTTTTCAGGTTCAAGCAGAATGATGTGCAACCATTTGTTATTCGTTTATGATGACTGGGTTTGAGAAAAAACGTTTAGTTCATGAAAACAGTGATAAAATTAGCATTTAGGCATTTTTCAAAAGTTTTTTGATTAAAAATTGGAAAAGTATTTATTTTAGCAGATTTGTTAAGTAATATCATACCGATTGGCGTACTTGGATTTTAATTTCATCTTCAAATGACCAAGTTACAAGTGTTCAAAACCTAACACTACTTCACCACACATATTTTTTGATTTGCTCCCCAGTATAGTCGACAAAGACTTAGTTCTACGTCAAAAAAATTTAATGGTTAAATTTAATAAAAGAGTATCATGTCGGCATACTTTGAACTGTGAAAGTAATTAACTTTTATTTTTTTCTAATGCCAGCGAAAATTTATTTGAGAGATTGTCTTTAGCACAGAAGTCTAGTTTGGTTAGAAATGCGCAACATTATCTAATCATGTTGATTGGACCTGTTGACTTCTGTAGATTTCTCAAATTTGGCACATTTAATCTCAACATGGTAAAATCAAGTTCAAACAGCCAAAATACTGGCTGAAAAAACAATCCGCTAATGAAGAAGAAGAAGAAGAAGAAAAAGAAGAAAAAGAAAGAAAAAAGAAGAAGAAGAAAATAAGAAGAAGAAGAAGAAAAATAAGAAAAATAAGAAGAAGAATGATTAGAAGAAGAAAAATACGATAAAGTAGAATGAATATTGCTGGAAATTCTACCGACGTACAGTGGAGAACGATCCCGGTAGCGTGACCAATACCTTTAGCGCCTTGGAGATGCATCCTACAGATTTGCAGTCTTCAAAATTAATTAGTTTACGAAGAGCCAGATTTTGGTGGCTTCTGATTAGTTCCTATTCTTGCCGCATAGGTGGCACTCGAATCTATCTTTTGAATGGAGCATCCTACAAGGATGGTTTCTTGGGCAAATTTGCGCATTTTATAAAGGGTGATACGGTCAAAATTTGGTCAAGGGAAAACGCGTGTAAATCGGTGAAATCGTTTATTTAAAAAATCAAATTAAATTTCTTTTTCAAGTTCAATTAGTATAAAATTCAGGAAAAATATTCAGTTAGGCTTCCGCTTTTCCAAATCCGAATTGCCGGGCCTTACGCTTGATCCCTGCCATCAGATTTTGTACAGCCACCTTGTCCACCTTCTTCGCCGCAGAAAGCCAGTTTGCCTTGAACTGCTGCTCGCCCTTAGCAGTTTTTTCGGTCTTATTTAGGTTCCGCTTGACAATAGCCCAGTATTTCTCAATTGGGCGGAGCTCTGGCGTGTTGGGAGGGTTCTTGTCCTTGGGAACCACCTGCACGTTGTTGGCGGCGTACCACTCCATGGCCTTTTTACCGTAATGGCAAGATGCCAAATCCGGCCAAAACAGTACGGAACAACCGTGTTTCTTCAGGAAAGGCAGCAGACGTTTATTCAAACACTCTTTCACGTAAATTTCTTGGTTGACAGTCCCGGAAGCTATGAAAATGCTGCTTTTCAAGCCACAGGTACAGATGGCTTGCCAAACCAGATATTTCTTTGCGAACTTTGACAGTTTCATGTGCTTGAAAACATCTGCTACCTTTCCCCTTCCTTTTGCCGTATAAAACTCCTGTCCCGGAAGCTGCTTGTAGTCGGCTTTGACGTAGGTTTCGTCGTCCATTACCACGCAGTCAAACTTCGTCAGCATCGTCGTGTACAGCCTCCGGGATCGCGCTTTGGCCGTCGTATTTTGTTTATCATCGCGATTTGGAGTCACTACCTTCTTGTAAGTCGATAGTCCGGCTCGTTTTTTGGCTCGATGCACGGTTGTAGACGATACACCCAGCTTATTTGCGGCATCTCGGAGAGAGAGGTTAGGGTTTCGCTTGAAACTACCGGCAACTCTCTTTGTCGTCTCAGAGGCTTCCGGTTTTCGATTTCCCCCCGATCCAGACTTCCTGGCTGTCGACAAACGTTCCCCAAACACTTTAATTACATTTGTAACGGTTGATTTGGCAACTTTTAGCGATTTTGCCAACTTTGCGTGCGAGTAGCTCGGATTTTCGCGATGCGCGAGCAAAATTTTGATACGCTGCTCTTCTTGCTTGGACGGCATTTTGACAACTGAAGAGTGAATTCCAAAATCAAAATAGGAGCAACATTCTACACACACACACCTTCAAAATGAGGGGTGTTCAGGTTTTTTAAATGCAAAATTGAAAGAAATACGTCAAGTTGATATTGACCAAATTTTGACCGTATCACCCTTTAGTTATTAGAAATGTTGTCCAAGACATCATAGACCTCAGAATCACGGGGAAGTAGGATGAAGGCTTTCAAAAAATGTCCTTAAGAAAATAATTATCAAATTTTTAACGTTTTTAGCACAGAAATGTAAGCTTAATACGTACACACTTAGAAAAATTCGTTTAAATTTAGGTGCTCTGTGAGTGGCATATACGAGCGTCAATTTTGACATAAATTTGAGTCATAACAGATGCGAAATATAGCTGAATCAAACGAACACCGAGCAACGAACTTTTCAGTCTCGGAACACTTAATATTACATGAAATGTTTGTTTACGTCTCATCTTTTTCTCACAATTCAAATGCATAGTGTTCAGGCATGATTCATAGAATAAGATTCACACATGAAATGGATGTGTTTCACAATAAGCGCAAAATTAAGTGTGAGACACATGATGATGACGTGTGGAATTTTTTGAGTGTACGATCATTGAACCCATACAGTAAACTATCAGTACTTGTATACGCTGGAAGGCAAAAGGCGTATAAGAGATATCTATGTAGTGCGGTGAATATGGTTTTCCAGGTAACGCTTGAAGCGGTCATATTCCGCTGCATTATGAAGTCATGAATTTCCATAACGAAATCATGAATCATTGCTATGATTTCATGGGATGGCAAGTTTATGATTTCATGATTTTTTATTCATGAAAATGGAATCGGATTTTTTCCCATGTAATGATAACTTACATATCCAATGAGAATAACTCAGAGCGAGGCTATAAACTCGCAGTGCAAGAGTATTTTAAAACCTCCAATGAGTTTGAAGAGTTTCATCAAGCCTGGTTGGGGGACGAGGAGGAAATGCTGGAAATTGATGACCAACACTCAATGATCTAAGAAGTAACAAATCGTGGCATACATTAATAGCTCCTCAGGGTTGCATTATGGAAGCCTTATGTCTTGCAAAGTTGATCCTTTGTACCTAGGTCTTCATTTGGTGACATAATTATAATTCAGAATTCTGCCGAAGCATTATGGAAGGGTGATGTCTTCGGCATGCTTTTTTTATTTTTAGAGAAGTAATTTTTATGTATCAAGTTACGATGTGTCAAAGTCATATGGTGTTTAGAAGTTACCCAACATACAAATTATCTATTGAAGTAAAGGCTTCTTAATAATTTTATTTTACTGCGTTGTACCTATACTACTTTCCAAAATGACTTCTGTTCAGGCATTGTTAACACAAATTATGAGAATTCAACCACATAATTGAACTGTTTCGTGTTGGTTAAGATACATCCAAATACTTTTGTTCTATACATGAGTTGCAAAAGAGCTTATTCGATCACATGTTTTTGAATGTTCAGCGTTTATTAAACTTCATTATTTCCTTAAACAATAATGCTGTATACGCTTGATTCTCATGCAAAGTTATTGTTGGCGATACTCGCCTTGCCGTACTCGAAAGTCTTTCTTCACTAGCCGAGTGAACTAGCACCGAACAATGTACTCTTTAGAAGTGCTTCACCAATCACACAAAATTCTTTCACGTCCCTTTTTATGGGAGGACTTTGTCGTTCTAACGCACCGATTCAGTCATCGAAGGACCAAAGAAAAATGAGACACAAAACCGGCCGTACTGTGCTCTTCAACGTGTATATTGTTACTGGTTATTTACAAATTGTGCAGATCCCTTATCTACCTATCCAAATGTTGAACATCGGCTATCGTCGTTATAATATAGGTTCTCTCCCTCTCTGTGCTCACAAATTCAATTAAAACTACAATCCATGTCATTTGAAACTGTTGCTATCTACAAATTCAAAATTCTAATTTATTAACTCTAACAGTTATGTTCAATTAGATACTTAAAATCCCAGCTTTCATTAAATGATTATGCAACTACGGAAAAATTAAACCGAAAATAAGAATGGAAGAGAATATTAGAAAAAAAAATACATCTATGCTGGCAGAGTGGGGTTCACACCATGTACCTTCCGATTACAAGCCGCTTGCCTTGCCATCTAAGCTAACAAAGAATATACGATATGTCCAGCTCAATGATCAATA